AACCAACTGAGCCACCCAGGCGCCCCTTGAATGTATTCTTTTCAATGACTATCTCGTATGTGAATATGATGAGCAAGAGACAAAATGATTAATACAGATATAAAAAGTTCCTGTTCTCCTGGATCTTACAGTCGGGTGAGAAAGATACTGAGCATGCATTTACAGATGTGATGAGGACCATGTGATGGGGGTAACATGGATATGTGTAACAAGTGGATTTTACCAAACCTAGAAGACTGAGGTTTCAGTCTTTGCTTTCTAAACAAATGACATTTAAAAAAGGTTTTGAAAAATTAGTATCAACCTGGAAATAAAAAGCTACAATGAGAAGCATTGGGTATTTTCATATTATAGGGGAGCACAGATTCAGGGAGAAACCCAAATACTGTCCAGCTTATTGGGTGAAAGCCATGAATTTTTGTGACGGAAAGGAAGGGGGCCATTACATGAGTTGAAAAGAAATATTTTTCTATGGGGTTAACAAGCTAAGCTACTCTGGGTTATGTGTTGATTGAGTACTGGTTTTAACTACTGGTTTTATCTTTAGAAGGTCCACAAGTATCAGTCTTATGATCAGAATGTCCTTTCTCCTGCTGACTCTCTAACAATTGCCATTTTGCCTAGTCCAAAGGTTTTGGCCCACTTTAAACAAAAGATGGGTAAAACATTCTGGCTCTATTTTAGAAATGGCTCCAGTCCGGTCAATTTCTCCCAGTAGGTATTTTCTGAGAAAAGAGTTAAAGCCTCAGGAGACTGTCCAAGAAGAGGGAGAAGTCCAGGTCTGTCGGTTAGGGTTCTCTGGAAGTAGAGATAGGTAGATCTGTTACTTCAGAGGAAACAGTTTACAAGACTAAATGGGTATTTTAGATTTGATGGGTGATAGAGAAGGAGGTATTGAGACATTGAATATAATACAAAAAGGATAAATTGCTAGTCACGGCTGGCAAAAGGAAGGAGCTGAAGCACATTGAGCCTGTGCCATTAGTTTTCCCTGAAGACTTTTGCATAAGAATTAGCCTTTCTATTCTTGTCATCGTTAGGATTTTATACTTAATCCCCCTCTTCTACCTCTGAAACTGTGCTATTAATGCATTTTAGTTTTTTGTTTTGCAAAATTGCTGTCAGTAACACCTTTGGGTTCTCTCCATTGTTTTTTTTTCACTCAGAGTTGATATGTCTTGGGCGGGACGGGAGGGGGGAGGGGGGGATGGAGGTTTTATGAAAACTAAAGTATGTCACAAAACAGGACACAGCTTTCCCCCCTAAGGCCTCTAAATTTTGGATTCTGAACACTTATTTTACTTTCCTGTCCACAACACTGGTCAAGCATGAGAGCAAGGAAAAGGCATTCCTTCACTTAAAAGCACAATTTGTGGGAAAGAAAGACTAAAATATGTTTTTCTAGAGCCTTTACCAAATGAAGTGAAGTCCATATGATCGCTAATCTTGTTTTTACTGTTATGTTCGTGGATTGCATTGTCAAGTACTTTGGTTTTATGATTTTAAAAATTGTTTTAAATATATTTTTATGACATGTCAAAAAGTCCCATGATCTAATGGACATATAATTATATAGAAGTTAAATTAGCAAAGCTAAATGCAGCCCTGTAGAAATAATGTACAGAAATCCTGAGCTCCACATCTCATTCTCTTTGAAACTGTCCTACCTTCCCTGGCAGTCTTGGTTACTTTCCGTACTCAGCCCTTTAATATGGCAGTTATAATTACTGTTCACATACCCATTTCCTTCACTAAACTGAGTGACTCAAAGGCAAAGAATGTTTATTTATCTTTCTGACCACAGAACTTTAGCTATAGTAGATACACAAAAATATACTTGTGTAGGAACAAATATGAGTAAAGTTATTAAGACATACTACTGAGGTTATCAAAGATTGGGGCTTTTTAAAAATAGCATGTATAAAACTTTAAAGGGGGAAGTTCATTTAGAACCCCCTCCCCTTCAGCCCAAAACTAAGCCAATACCCAAATACCCCCTTGGCCACTTTGACACCTAGTTCTTGTAAATGTTTCCCTTCCTTCCATGTATTCACTCTCATAATCCAGTGAGTCTAAGAAACACAGCCATGTTTAAACATCTGGGATTCATCAGGCCGATTCTGTTAATCAAAGTTCTGAAGATCAGTTCCAGATGTTGCCTAACTAAAGTTACATAAACATTGTTCACATTTTTAACTACAATCAGACCTAACTTCCCATATCTTGAAAGTAACTTAATTTGTATAGGTAGGAGTTATACTCTGCACTATTTTTTTAAATTAACTCCCAGCTTAATACAGAGATAAGGCTGATAGATCTTCCCTAGAAGTGAATGAATATCAATAAAAATTCAAGATATATTTTTGGAAATCATACATTTAATCACATTAGCTCAAGGATTCCATAAGACAGGAAGACAAATTAATACTGTCTGAGTGTCCACTATGTAAGGGAGGAAAAATAATTTTCCCTTCTAGGTTCTTGATGAGACCCAACCCCTGTAATAAAGTACAGACTAACAAGAGAAAAACAGAGTTTAATAACATATACCCCTCCTGTATATATGGGAAATACCCGGAAAACATGAGTAACTCCTTGCAATGACTCAAACCACCACCTAAATACCATCTACAGCTAAAGACAAAAGATACTAGGGGAGGTTATCAGGCAAAGCAGAGTAAATAAGGGTAGGGCTGATAGGAGTTTCTAGAGATTTAGTCAGCCTTCTCTTCCTGGTTCAGAAAGGGAGACACCCTTATAAATGAAGATTTCCCTTATAAATGTCAATGTCTCTCACAAAATGATAACTTCTACTGGTTTTCTCCTGTGGCTGCTGTGCCTTAAAAATAATTAGTTCAAAATAATCTTTCTGCCAAAGAGGCTTATTTTGGGGCAGTACACTCTGTTCTGCTTTGGTCCTATCTTTGAAACTTCCCCAATAACTTTGATAATTCAGAAGCTGAATTGATAGAGTGTTCCATATCTCATTGAACCAGTCTTTTAATCTTGAGAATAGTTAAAACAGTTAAACAGTTGCTTTTTGTTTCTGGAGGTGGTGTGGCAGGTGGGCTTCCAAAGTTAGGTCTATAAGGTACAATCAATAAAGTACTTAATAAGATGCAGTTCTATGGGGGAAAAAAAAGATTAATGGTTAGAGTCGACAATAAACCCAGTCCGAGTCATGAGAGCAGATAGTTTAGAAGATTTTGTTGGGAAGGAAGAATTTTATCTGCTGTTCAAGGTGCTTCTGGCTGGACTAAGAACCAAATTGACAGGAGAAAATCAACTTTAGTTTTGGTCATGAAATTCCAAACACAGTTGGGCACCATGAGGCTTATATGATATCCTGAGCTAAGGGGGGAGGTGGGGGGGGCGGGGGGGTTGAGAATACAAAGGGAGGATGGCCATTAACAGGAAGGCAAGAAGAGATGTTTGGAAAACAAAGGTTACCTGCATAAGAGGGGAAGTTTCATTGTTTTTTTTTAAGATTTTATCTATTTTTTTGACAGGGAACACATGCAGTGAGGAGTGGCAGAGGGAGAAGCAGGCTTCCCATGGAGCAGGGAGCCCGATGTGGGGCTCGATGTGGGGCTCGATCCCAGGACCCTGAGATCATGACCCAAGCCGAAGGCAGACGCTTAACGACTGAGCCACCCAGGTGCCCCAGGAAGTTTCTTAGATAAAGAGGAATCTCTAGTAATAGCTCTCTTCCTGATACAGGCAGGCAGTTGAGGAGGAGGTAAAAAGCTTTTCCTGAATCTGCTAGGTTTTGATTACTTTTAACTCAAAAGAGCATTCATGCCAAAGTGGCCCATCCTGGGGCAACCTGCCCTGGGCCCCTAAGTTCCCTCAAGTTCCCTCAAATTTCCCTGAAATTTAGCTCAAGTTTTACACCTTAAAAGTGAATTGGTAGATTGTTTCATCTTGTTGAACCAGTCTTAGTCCTGATAATGGGTCAGTTCAATTAAACTCATTTGAGGAGGCGGTGATGCAGTTATGTTCTCAAAGTTAGGCCTTACTGGTTCAAGTAATCAGGTATTTAATAAGAGGCATTTATACAGAAACAAAAGAAAAACAGTAGCTAATGATTGGATCAAATTAGAAACCAGTTTCCGAGTGCTGAGAATAGCCAGTCCAGAAGATTTCTAGATGTCAAGCTTAAAGCATCTTTAGATAGAGTGAGACAGGCAGTTTGCCAATCTGACAGATTTTCCTGGTTTGTAGTTCAAATGTCTCTGGTGATCTTTTGTGTGGCCCACAGAGCAACCGGCATGAAGACTGCCTATATGTGAGCTGTTGTGATTTTCCTGAAGTTTACATCAAGTTATTCATATTTAGTTTGCAGAGCTTCAGGAAAAAAGGAAGTGTCAGTTCTCAAATATATCCAACTCAGAAACATGGGAAAAAATTTGAAAATATTCATTTGGAGAGATATAGCTAGGCATTGGAGGAAACTAGAAGAAATTAGGATCTAGTCTAGTTTATAATGGACATTTTACTCAGGTATGTTATTGAAACATTTTTTCTATAATCACACTCATTTCTACTAAAAATAGCCAAATTCATATTAATTTGTGTGCAAAACAAATCTAGTTTCAAAAAACCTGGGTCTCATCATTTACATAAGTGCTATAAGAAGAGCAATTGACTGGGGCACCTGAGTGGCTCAGTCAGTTAAGCGTCTGACTCCAGCTTAGGTCATGATCCCAGGGTCCACATCAGGCTCCCTGCCCCTCCCCCCATTTGTGTGTTCTCTCTCAAATAAATAAAATCTTTAAAAAAAAGAATAGCAGTTGAGCATATAGGCTCTTTAAAACCTGCTTTCCTGGAACTTTTTATAAGAAATCTCTAGATTGAACTTCTAACAGCCTCTAAAGGCCAGAAGCCAAGCCAAATACTTGTCCTCAGACTTTACCTGCAATACCTATAGATTTGGGTGAAATCCTCTTTTCTTGAGTTCCCCCAAAATATCCCTATGTTTTTATATCTTCTTTACTCACCTGGTAAGACTGCTGGGAAATCCATAAGCTAGTATCACGCTGCTATTTACAAGGGCTTTATTAGCTCCATAAAGTCCACCTCAGTTCTTTAAAGCTGTCTGGTCATACGTGAGTCTATGCATCTTTCTCCCAAATATTCCATTCAAAGCCTTGGTAATATAACCACTATTTCCAATAGTTTCCTGTTAGAAAAAAAATGGATTCTTGTTGAACATATGTAAATTTATTGCCATAAAAATATAAGAATACTAACAGTTTCAAAATTCTGGATTCTGAAATCAGGTAGGGATAAAAGATAAATGTTTCAATTAGAGTATACCCATGTAAACAATCAAATTGCTGTAAGTCAGCTTAAAAGAAAGTTTTTTTAAAAGATTATGGTTTTCCAGATTAAAACATTGCAATTATTCTCTTCAGTTTATTTAGTCCCATGTTATTAATTCTTGTTCTGTTTGAACCCAATATTTCCACTAGTTCTAGAAATTCTTATCCAGTTTGGTTTGAGCTTAAGGTTATCAGAAACCTATTCTCAGAGTTCATTTAATATGCAATAGCATCAGTAAAACAGTAACTGACAATACTTAAAAATGGCCCTGGCTAAAAGATCTGATTAGAGTTCATTATAATGCAACTGACAAGGAAATTTGGTTACTTCTGTAACATACAACACTTCAAGATAATAACATCCTAGGACATCAGATTTCTAGGAGTTTCATACTATTTTTAGGACACTTATTTTAATAATATATCTACATAAATATAATGTAAGAGGATTTAGTAGCATTTATTTGACAATGCTTTCCATATATTTTAAGCTAATTAGGCTTATTTGATATGTTAATTTCTTACAAATTTCTTTGATTTTTTTGAAATGTTCCAAGAGCTCTCAGGAACACCTCAGAATGTGGCCAAACATCAAAAGACTTGGACATTTGATTAAATAGGATTATGTCATTATGAAACCAGATCTAATTATCCATTTAACCCAAATGACAATAAAAGATATCAAAGCCAAATACAGGTTATAGTTTTGAGCAAAATTTAGCTCTTAGACATAGGAAAATATGTTGCCAAAACACAGAATCCTTGTTTTCTGAGGAGGTACCCTTAAAGGTAAAGAAAAACATGTTTACAATTTAAGAACAGATCAGTTCAAGAAAACTTTTTTTTTTTTTAACAAAAACAGTTTTAATTTTGCATCAGTGTACTTTTTTTTTTCAAGAATTTATTTTTTTGAGGGGTGCCTGGGTGGCTCAGTGGTTAAGCATCCGCCTTCAGCTCAGGTCATGATCCCAGGGTCCTGGGATCAAGCCCCGCATTGGGCTCCCTGCTTGGCGGGAAGCCTGCTTCTCCCTCTCCCACTCCCCCTGCTTGTGTTCCCTCTCTCACTGTGTGTCTGTTAAATAAATAAATAAAAATCTTTTAAAAAAAATTTATTTATTTAAGAAAGAGCACAAGGTGGTGGGGAGAGGGAGAAGCAGGCTCTCCACTGAGCAGGGAGTATGACGAGGGCTCGATCCCAGGACCCCAGGATCATGACCTGAGCTAAAGGCAGATGTTTAACCGACTGAGCCACCCAGCTGCCCCTACTTCAGTGTATTTTTAATATTAAAATTCATTTACTTGAATTTATCTTAATCTTAGGCAGTATTGACTACATATAAAATTCCTTTCTAAAGATTCCTTTTCCATAAATCTGCAACTTTCTATCTTATATTCAGATATTGTACTAAGGTTTTCCTCAACAGAAGCGTATTCCCACCCCACTCCCCTTTTTTTTATCCATAAAGACATCATACTTTCCTTGCACACAGAGTTGTTTCTCTTAATAACTGTAGGGGCCAAGGGCAGATTACCCCAAGATGGGCCAATTTGGCATGAACATTATTTTGAGTTAAAAGCAATCAAAACCCGGCAGATACAGAAAAAGCTCTCTCCCTGGTCCTCAGCTGTCTACATTTACATTGGAAAAGAGGGCTGGACCAGGAAGAGCCTATTAAAAGAGATTCCCCTTTACCTAACAAACTTAATCTGCATAATATGGCAAACTTTGTTTTTCCAAAACATCTCCTTTCACCTTCCTTATAATGGCCTTCCCTTTGTATTCTCAGACCCTACCCCTCTTCTTAGTCATGATGGTTCACTGTCTATGGAATTTCGTGTCAGTGTGGATTTTCCATAAATACACCTATTAATATGGATTTTTTTCCTATTAACCTGTCTCATGTCAATTTGATTCTAAGTCCACCTAGAAGGACCTTCAAGAGCAGAGGAAGGTCTTCCTCTCTGACAAATAATTGTGAACTGTTTGTTACACTAGTATTCTTTAGATTAGCAATTTTTAAATACATTTCCTAGGGGCACCTGGGTGGCACAGTTGGTTAAGTGTCCAGCTCTTGGTTTTGGCTCAGATCATGATCTTATGGGCGCTCAGTGGGGAGTGTGCTTGAAAGATTCTCTCCCTCTACCCCTCCCTCTTGCTCCCTCTCTCAAATAATTCTTTTTTAAAAAGTACCAGTTCTGTTCCAATATCCTAGGTTGTTGTTTTTTGTTGTTGTTGTTGTTGTTTTTAGTATCTACAAATATTTTAAGAGGTATAGGCAAAGTTTGGAAACTAATATTGGTGGGCTTTGACTTGGTTCTAGAGTTTCATTTCTGCTTTTGTAGAGATTTGTAAGACAAAGACAGTAGTTTTTAATTCCCCAAAGAATTAGATTATAGCCTTAAAAAGATGGGCCAGTGCCTTGATATTAACTAAATTTTCTTATTTATATCAGGGAGATTTTTAGCTAAAATGGGAATCAAAAAGATTTACATCTTTAAATATGTATAAAGCATTTTAACAAAAGCCTTCTTTCTAGGTATATAATTCAACTTGGCTTTTATTAGCCCCTGAATATTGGCCTTTCACAGATCATTTACAGGAAGGCCTAAGTGAAATTTTAGTCCTCTTTTGTGGATAGTCATTAATCTTTTTAATTTCTTTAAATTTGGTAGAATCTTTTGTAAATAGAGGCAAAATAGCCTTATAATTTAAAAGACCTACTGGTGTTCAGGGGACATGAACTCTTTTGCAGTGGGGGGGGATCTAAGATACACCTGCAACGGACATCACATAGGAAAGTCCAAAGCTGGCAGAACCTGATTACTGAGCTCTGGAAGGTAGGAGCAAAGCAATCCTTAGTGCTAATCTTGGGTGCTTTTATTAAACTCCATTTCCTGTCTTTCAGCTTTACATGAGCAACCTGTATACTTGAACCTAGAGATGAAGCTGGCATGTTCACTGTAAATCTTGTAGGGAAAGGGAATTTAAAACAGGCAGATGAGGCTGAATTTTAAGGGAAATTTATGTTGGAAGTGGACACTTAAGTCTAATTTCTGTTCTTGGTCTTGTCATGGGTGTCCTTAAGGCTAGCCATTATACTAAGAAGACAATTGTGAGCTCTCTATAAAGAATATTTTTCTTTTAAATATAACCAATTTAAAGGACCCAGCATCTGGCCATTGGCAAGTAGGATTTATTATTAGCAACTTAAAGCAATAAGCCTTTAAATGGTTTAACCAAAGATGTAATAGATATCCAAACAGGGCATAGCTGAGGGAGTCTCTATGATCCAAAAGTTTACTCCTCAAATTAGTCTTAGGAGGCAAAGGTCTTGGTTGCACAGGTGGTAAGAATGTTGTAATGAAAATGGTATGTCAGGTCTCCCACAAATCCTGTGATGCCTCCAGTCATACACAGGCTAACCTGTGACACTGGGCAGGTGCTAGTAGATTGGGACCTTCCAGAACTAACAAGCAACAATGGTCCTGTGGGCTGGAACCTCTCATGATAAACACCCCTGAGAGCTAGCACAGTGGGACAGAGAGAGAGAGACTCAGATCCCCAGTCTATTTGACCACCAAGATGCACCCTGGTAAATGTACCTTCCTCATGGTGGAAACAGATATCCTCAGTGGTCAAAAAGCCAAGTTCTTAGAACACAGAACACGATGAAAGAAAAAAACCTCATCTGGTTTTTCTCTTGGCTAAGCCTTGGGTCTCTTGGAGCCACATTAATACCCAGGAGGGATGTACTGCAAGGTTGGGAACTGTGTGTTGTTTTACAGTAAACCTTATTGCATGGAAGTTTTCTTGAGGTCAGTGGGTGACCTAGTGTCTATCTAACCTGTTCCATGACCAAATTATCCTAACACAGTAGTCTTTGAGTTAGGTGGTAAACAATCTGCTAGTTTGTAAGTGCTTGACTGGTGCCCATCAATTTTGCAGCTTTGGCTTCCAAGATGGCCCTTAGCAGCAGCCTTTACCCCACAGCAAAGTTTGTCTAAACAGATGCTGGTCTGGTGAGAACTGTGAACATTGACCTTTTTATGACAAACAAAAAAGGCACCAAGAAAAATAAAGAACCATCCCTGGGGGGATTTAACCAAAGAGTCACTAAGGTCAAAAAACTAGTTCCAAAAAGTATTTTCTCCTGCTAATCTAAATTTAGGAAAGAAAAAGGACTCTCACTGCTCTTGCTCCATCAGACTCCAGAGATAAGATTTCTTACCATGTCAACCCCCTGAAATCTCTGCCTTTTGCCAGCTGCTTGTAAGATTTCTCAAGGATCTCTCAGCTGCAGCAGTGTGTGGGGTGAGCAGTGTCCAGCAAGTTGAGGTATCCTGCTGACTGTGCCACCTGTTGGAGAGGAAGAATTTTCTCTCTGTTGAAGGTTCTTCTGGCTGGACTAACAACCAAATTGACAGGAGAGAGATTAACAGAAGAAAATCAAATCTATCATATGAACAGGGAATCCACACAGACATGAAATTCCAAAGACAGGCAAGGTGAGGTTTATATGATATCCACTAAGGAGAGGTGTAAGGGTCTGAGGATACAAAGGAGAGGATGATCACTTAACAGGAATGTAAGAGGAGGTGTTTGGAAAACAAAGGTTGCTCTATTATGCATGTAAGTTTCTAAAGAGGCATCTCTGTTAATAGCTCTTTTTCTGGTATAGGCAGGCAGTTAAGGAGGAGAGGTAAAGAACTTTTCCAGAATCTGCTGGGTTTTGATAGGTTTTAACTCAAAATGACATTCATGCCAAAGTGGCCTATCTTGGGGTAGCCTGCTCTTGACCCCTACAATTTCAGTCAGGCTTAAAGCATCTTCAGATAGAATGAGACTAGGCAGTGGTAATAGGACATATTTTTCCAGTTTGCAGCTTGAATGTCTCTGATGATGTTTCTGAATGGCCCATACAGCACCAGCCATAAATATTATCCATAAATGAGATGTTGTGGTTTCTCTGAAGTTTATAACAAGTCGTTCAGTTTCAGTGTACAGTGCTTTGGGAAAAAGGCAAGTGTTATTCTTAGTGATTCCAGGTAAAAAAGGTGGGGGGGGGAAATTGGAAACATAGTTTGAAAGTTGTGGCCAAATATTTGAAAACTCGAAAAATTCAAGATCCAGTCTGGTTTACAGGTAGAAAACAAACCCTCAGAGTAGTTAATAGTGTTAGAATCTGATATCTACAAAGGGATATTGTAATTTCTACTGAAACATAAGTTTTTATTCTACAATCACCTTCATTTCTACCAAAGATAACCACAGGTACTAATTTGTTTGCAAAGTAGGTCTACTCTCATTAACCCTGGCATAATTATTTACATTAGTGCAACAAGAACAGTGATTGATCATATAGGCTCTTTTTGTCTGCTTTGCTGGAACTTTTCATAAGGAATCTTAGATTGGGTATTTAAAAGCCTCCTCAGGGTGGGACTCCCCATTAGACTTTGCCTGCAATACCTATAGATTTGGGTAAATTCCTCTCTTCTCAAGGTTCCCAAGATATTCTGAGATTCCTATGACATTCTTTACTCACTTGGTAGGGCTGATGGGAACACTATCAGCAAGGTAGAAAAAGATGTTTTTAAGGGGCTTTACTGTTTCCATAATGTCCACGTGGATCCTTAAAAATCTCTGATCATATCTGATCTATGCACATCATTCTCAAATGGTATTTCAATCAATTGTTTCTAACTGACCTATTACAAAGAGAACATACTCGGGGCGCCTGGGTGGCTCAGTTGGGCGGCTGCCTTCAGCTCAGGTCATGATCCTGGAGTCCCAGGATCGAGTCCCGCATCAGGCTCCCTGCTCAGTGGGGGGTCTGCTTCTCCCTCTGACCCTCCCCCCTCTCGTGCTCTCTCTATCTCATTCTCTCTCTCAAATAAATAAATAAAATATTAAAAAAAAAAAAAACAAAGAGAACATACTCTTATTGAACTTTATGAGTTTTGAAATTCTGAAGGGATCCATTAGGTAGAAAATGAAATTGTTTCCATTCTGGTTACAAAGGTAAAATTTACCAAATTGTTGTAAGTCATAGATGAGAGAAAAATCTCATTAAATTTGGAAATGCAAAACATTAGTAAGCCAGCAATGTTTCAAACAAAAAGGCATCCTTATGAATTCATTCAGTCCCATGTAATTAATTCTTGTTGATTTTGATCTTTGATAGCAGTTTTATGAATCCATCAGTTTCTCCACTAGACTTCTGTAAATTTTGACCCACTTCAGTGTATGATATGAAAGCTATCAGAAACCATGAGAGACTATGGACTCTGAGAAACAAACTGAGGGTTTTGGAGGGGAGGGGGGTGGGGGGGAGGGTTAGCCCAGTGATGGGTATTAAGGAGGGCACGTATTGAATGGAGCACTGGGTGTTACATGCAAACAATGAATCATGGAACACTACATCAGAAACTAATGATGTAATGTATGGTGACTAACATAACAAAATAATTTAAATTATTTTTTATTTAATTTGAATTCATTTAATTTAAATTAAATTTAAAATAAATTTAATTTAAATTTAAAAAAAAGTTATCAGAAAACTGTACTTTAAAGTCCTTTACATGGACTTACTCCTTGAAGAGAGAACAAATTTGCAAGAGCATCAAAGTAAAACAACAACTGTCTGTAAATGATAAAAAGACTTAAACTCTCATTAGAGCTTTAACCGTAGATATTTTTATTATAATGTAATTGAAAAGAAAATTTGGTTGTTTCTGACATACATTTTATGATAATAGAATTATGATGAATAACATAAAACCAGGACATATCAGATTTCCAGGAATTTCATAGAATTCTAGAATACTTAAATTAACATATACCCCTCCAAATATAATACCAAGAAGGTTTAGTATTATTTCTTACTTGGCAATGCTTTCTATATAATTTAACATATCAAATACACCTAATTAGTGTGGATCTCTTTTCAAAAGTAGAATAAATCTTTTGAGATGTCCCAAAGTTAGTCAAAAAGATTTTATTTAGAATTTGATTTTGAGGTTTTTGTCAAAAATATCAAAGGGTTTTGGACATTTGAGTAAGTTGGATCACAGAACATTATGAAATACTATTTAATTATCTATTTAGTCAAAGTGAGAATAAACGATTTTAAAGATAAATACAGAATGCTACATACATACTTGTAAGCAAAGCCTAGCTCTTTTAATATGGAGAAGATTCAATTTTCTTAAGTAATCATAGACCTGGTAAAGCACCATAAAGCACAGGAAATTATTTTGATAAAATATAAAACCTTAGCTTTTGAGGCATATTACTTAAGAGAGTGTGAAATATTTTTCTTTACCTTTTATCAAGAGCAGGCCAATAGTCCAAGCAAAGTTTATTTCAGCTGTTAAAAGGACAAAGTTAAATTTTAGTTTTACGTAAGTACACTACTGATTTTAAAGCTTATTTTAAAAAGCTTTATAATGACAATTCAGTTTTAGCCCACTTGGCCACACAAGGTGAGATTCTCTTCCCAACTTGCCATATCTATATAGAGTATTCTTTCTTTCTTTTTTTTTTTTTTAAGATTCTATTTATTTATTTGACAGAGAGAGAGCCGGCGAGAGAGGGAACACAAGCAGGGAGGAGTGGAGGAGGGAGAAGCAGACGCCCTGCTGTGCAGGAAGCCTGATGCAGGGCTCCATCCCAACATCCGGGGATCATGATCTGAGCCGAAGGCAGACCTTAACGACCGAGCCACCCAGGTGCCCCTATATAGAGTGCTCTTTATTCTCTTCTTTCCCATCCTGAAATAACCAGTTGTTCTTGAGGACAAAATTACTTTCATTTTCCTTAACAAAAATGTATCTCCATATCTTATACCTTTTCTTAGGACATATCCTACTTTTCCAACGACATATCCTACTTTCCCTGTAGACCAACATAAAATAGTTTCTCTTGCTATTGCTAGTTAGGAATTCTAATTAATACATGTAATTAGAACTAACCCTTAGAAACCTTAATTTCGGGGTGCCTGGGTGGCTCAGTTGTTAAGCGTCTGCCTTCGGCTCAGGTCATGGTCCCAGAGTCCTGGGATCAGGCCCTGCATCAGGCTCCCTGCTCCGCAGGAAGCCTGCTTCTTCCTCTCCCACTCCCCCTGCTTGTGTTCCCTCACTCTGTCAAATAAATAAATAAAATCTTAAAAAAAAAAAAAGAAACCTTAATTTCTAGTGAAAACTCAGAAGTAAGCAATCATGAACTGTTACACTGGAATTCTTTAAATCGGCAAATTTATAAATTCATTTCATAATTTTGAAAAGCATATGCCTCTTTTTCCAATGTGGCACAAGACATGTTAACTAACAAACCCAAATACCTTTATTTTTTTGTAAAAAGAAACCAAAAGTAAATAGACGAGTGTTCTGTATCAGATCTGTACCTCTGAAACAAATAATACAATATATGTTAAAAAAAAAAAAAAAGAAGATGGCAGGAGGGGAAGAATGAAGAGGGGGAAATTGGAGGGGGAGACGAACCATGAAAGACTATGGACTCTGAGAAACAAACTGAGGGTTCTAGAGGGGAGGGGGGTGGGAGGATGGGTTAGCCTGGTGATGTGTATTAAAGAGGGCACGCTCTGCATGGAGCACTGGGTGTTATACACAAACAATGAATCATGGGACACTACATCAAAAACTAATGATGTAATGTATGGCGATTAACATAACAATAAAAATTTTTTAAAAAGATAGTCATATTCAATGATTTTCTGTCACTTAGCACAATTTTAACACTTCAAGTTACCAAAAAGATTTTGGAAGCTATTTCATAGGAGACATAGCCAGTAAAACCTCATCATTGTTGAAAAGTTCATTTATAAACTTTCATTCCACCTACATCTATTTAATTCACTGTTTTTAATAATCATATTAACATTGCTCATGAGAATTTTGAGACATTACATAAAGTTAAGCCATCTTATTTTTCTTTGGTAATAGAAACAATATGATCTTATTTGACTAGTACACTCAGGTGGAATAAAAGTTGCATATCTGCATTATAGTTAAGGCTAATAACTTTGAAGATGTGTCAATTTTAATTAAACCAACAAACTTCAACCAATTTTTACTTACAGAGGATTTTTCCAGATCATATGAACTTAAAAAACACTAGGGTTAGTTTTTATATTTCTGAAATTTTTGGGATACCCAATCCATTCAAACATTTTCCTTCAAGCAAACACAACATAGCTTTTACAAATTAATTTTGGTAATGCCATGTAGAGGTAGAAAAACACCACATCCATAACATACAAACAGACACACATAATGATACAGACAGACACAGAGATCTTACAGCTTTTGTTTTAAAATTTTAGCCATGTGTCAGGTACAATATAAAACTCACTAGTTTATAAAAGAACAGTTGGATCCAAAATGTGTTTCTGGCAAATGAAATAAGTTTACCTGCTCAGATGGCTAAAGCTATTTTACTAATATTTGTGGGAAAAAAAACACTTAAGGTGGTTTTTTGTTTGTTTGTTTTGCCAAATTTCTAAATAGCTCCTTTTTCCCCTCCTGATGAGAACCATTTCCCTAAAGTTTGCATTACAAAGAAATGGCTGTCAGCATACAGAGAAGACAGGGTAGAAAGGTATATTCAAAAGCACAAAAAAGTTTTCTCCAAGATGGGAGTTTTTGGTATATCTGTTACCAGAGGTGTAGCATAATTACTATTTAAATTTTTCCTTCTTTTTCATTTTTCCTCTTTTTCTTAAGTGTAGGACAATTCTTATTTCCAATGTTCTGATTTTTTTTTTCAATATCTGCAAGCATTTTGAGATGAATAGGGGAGGTTTGGCAATTGGTAATGATAGGTGGACTTTGAATTGCTTCAGAGGTGCATTTCTGGTTTTGTAAATATTTTTAAGACAAAGAGTTTGTAATTCCTCAAAGATCTGGACTGTGGCCTAAAATGGATGGGTGAATTAGCCCCTTGATATCAAATACATTATCTTTATATAAGAGAGATTTCCAACTAAGATAGAAATCAATAAATTCCTACATTCTAGAGCTTCAGGATTTAATGTCATATGCCTTTATAAAGTCTGTATAAGTGCTTACCTTTTTTTCTGAGTGTACAATTCAACCTTAGACCAAAAAACCTCTTCTATTAGCCCATGCACATTGGCCTCCAACTGAAGACATTTCCTGATCTTTTATAAGAGGGCCCGGGAGAAATTCATCTGTTTTCTCTGTGAGGGCATTTTCCCCAGGGGACAATCTGGCTTGTCCGTTTAACTACAGTATAAGGGGTGGGAAGAACACCCCCCTTATCAGCCAATCAAGGTCCCTGTGAGTAGAGTTGTGAATGTCCACTGATCTAACTCTTCTCCAAATTTGGATCCCCTGCCTATTTCAGCTGGCTGAGACAAGAGAGAATATCCTCACCAGTCACAAAGTCCTGCTCTTAAGACAGAACAAGACAAAAGGAAACCTCATCTTGCCTATGGTTCTCTTCCTTATAACAAAAGAGGCAAAATCATACAATGACCACTTCTGGGAGGAAAGGGAACAATAGAAAGAGTACTCATAATAAAAATATTTAGCAGTCACTATACCCAAGAAACTAATTCACTCAGTTATTTCTCTGCTAATCTAGGTTTGAAAATAAAGGAATAAAGTTTGGTGTGTGTGTGTGTATGTGTGTGTGTTTAACCTTCTCTAAACCAGGCATACAGAAATAGACCCTGGAGAGCTTACTTTAGTAAGAAGTCTTACTTTCTGCCCGTCTTCTAGGATCCTATCTGCAGGCAAGTATAGTATCTCAGTGGGTCCCATCATGGGTTGTCAAACTGTAGGGGAAGAAAAATAATTTGCCCTCTACTCTTCTAGGTTCCTTAGACACCCCTGTAACAAAATACAGATTAATAGGAGAAAAACAGATTTTTAATTAGACATGTCTATCTCCTGTATACATGGTAGATATCCAGGAAAACTGAGTAACTCCCCTAAAACAGTCCAAGCCACCAGCTAAAAACAAAAAATGTTGGGATGGGAAAAGAAGACCATTATGGGAGTTTATCAGGCAAAACAAACAAGGGTATACATGTGGATTTAAGTTGTTGCCTTTTCCACTGCTAAAAATTTCTGAGATTAGGTCATCTTTCTCTTCCTGATACAGAGAGGGAGACACCCTTATAAAAAATGTCCCTTTCAAAAGGGATAACTTCTACTTGGTTTTTAGGCCTTCTCCCGTGTCTGTTGTTTCTTAAGAATAAGCAGCTCAAGATAATCCTTATGCCAAAAAGGCATATTTTCGGGTGGCATATTCTCTCCATTACTGGACACTGTCATGGGTAATTCCACATATAATAACTGTGTGAAATAGAAATTACCTCCATTATACAAATGAGGAAATAGAGGCTCATAGAAGTTAATTACATTGTTGAAAATCATATGCTTAGTGTCTAAACTAAGATTATAGTCATTTTCCTGACCCCAAATTCAGTATTCTTTCCACATGTTGCCTTCTTCTATAATCTTAGGCAATATAAACCAGAGGGATGAATTTTGGAAAAATAAAAACATGTATCTACAACCTTTTAGGAAAATGTTTTCCTAAGGAAGACCATAAATGTAAACCTTATGTCTCCTTTTCAGATGTAATTTTTTTTTTTTATTAAGTAAATTCTAATCCTAATGTGGGGCTCGAACTCATGACCCTGAGATCAAGAGTTGCATGCTCTACTGACTGAGCCAGCCAGGTGCCCCTCCTTTTCAGATATAATTTAGTATTTTGTCCATATTTTATTGAGATAATTACCTGATTAGATTTTCATGAAGTTCAAAGTCTGGCATATGAGGAAAACAAGTGAATCAATCTAATTCCAGTGCTAAAGGCTCTATAATAAGCACTTTATAATCCAGAAATGCCGCAAGGCTCTAGAAGAAGCATATGTGCTACTGAATAAAAGTCATGGGCTAACTTCTGATGTTAGTAGAATCATGGGATAGATGTTCCAAATGGTGCTCTTAAAGCAATGCAAGTTGATCTTGCATAACTACAACATACTTCTTTAAAGCAGAGTTGGGCTCAAAAAAGAAAAAAAAAAAAACAAAAAACAGGAAATCTCCCAAGATGAGGAGAAGAAAGAGAAGGATAAAGAGGGAGAAGAAGCAAAAGAACAGTAAGTTAAACCCTGAATAGTGCCAGTAAACAAATATAAAAGTCAAGTCCCCTCACTGAAAAATAGCAGTTCTGGACTTAGAAGACACATAAGCCATTCTGCAAGGTGAGGGTGTGGAACAGAATGCTGCTCCATAGGAGTTAAGGTAGTTGCAGTTATATGTGCCTTTGGCTCCAGTGAAGAAAATGCAAATCTTATGTGACAGAAGCCACAAC